CCACCCCCCTTCTCCTTTCTTTGCAGGCAGGAACTGGTGGTGGGTGTCACAAAGGAGCTGAGCAAGAACATCAGCCTGACTAACTCCGGGGAAGATTCCTACATGACAAACATGGCTCTGAATTATCCCAGAAACTTACAGTTTAAGAGGATACAAAAGGTACCTGTGATACAGGCTTGGGAAACTTGCTGCCATTCCTTTCCCTTGTTGCCTACCTGCTTCTCTGTCATTGCCACCAGCCTCCTTCTGCCCCATCCAGGACAGGAATCACAATTACATGAATCCCCTCCAATTCTGGACCCTGAAAACCTTCAATGGTATGACATAATTAGCCCTCCTTGTGTTAACCAGGATTGTGAGAGAGAAATTCTTTGTTGGTTTTTTTTTTTTTTTTTTTTTTTTTTTTTTGGTTTTTCGAGACAGGGTTTCTCTGTGTAGCTCTGGAGCCTGTCTTGGAACTCACTCTGTAGCCCAGGCTGGCCTCGAACTCACAAAGATCTGCCTGCCTCTGCCTCCCGAGTGCTGGGACTAAAGGCATGTACCACCACTGTCCAGCTGAGAGATAAATTTAATGCCTAAGGAAATTGAGGAAGTGAAAATTCTACCCAACTGTTCACCAGACACAAGGCCAGCTGCAAAGATGGGCTTGCAAGCATGTGGCTGCTAACAGAACACTTAGATGTTCTGTTCTCTTAATTCAAAGATGGTTAGGCACTCTGCTGTTTCAAGTTCTTTGGGAATTAGGAAACCACCCTGCTCTTGTCTGGGGAATCTAAGTCACTCTGACAATGGAAAGTAAATTCAGTGTCCATCTAAGGTACAGAGCTGCAGATGCAGTGCTTCTGGACACAGCTTTCCTCACTTAGTGGATGTTAACCTAACTGGGATTGTGCTGCCCCTGGCATCACCTGCCCCTTTACTCTGCCCTGCTGTGTGCCTCTCTGAACTGCTTCATTGACCTTTTTCCTTAACTCTACCCACCCAGCCCTCTGACAATTCTGCATTTTCCTTTGTTGAGTGAAGACACTCCACAAGACAGCCCTCACTGGAGTGAGTCAGTAAAACTTGACTCTTGACTCTGTCAGAACTATAGGTTTGCCCCCCCCAGGGGGGATTTCAATTTTCTTGGGCTAAGTTATAAGTTAGCATCTGCTGTAAATAATTGAAATTATCATTTTCATATCTAGACTAGGATGAGTTGATGGTGGAACTAGTGATAGGCCATCTAGGGGACAGTAGCTCTCTGTGTTTGGTGATCTAGATGAGGAACCCATTAGAAGGCCACACAGCAGTGCTTGAGCACACAAGCTTTCCCTCAATCTCAGCATGACACTTGTTCCAATGTCTTCCTCTCCATGAGGACTTTATATAGTCCTGTCAGCTGGAACCAGTCTCCATCGCTACGGAGCCTCACTCACAGAACACTACCCTCAGGCTTTGGGTTTAAACTTGCCCCTCAGTTATGAGTAGACCAGTGGCCAAGCCTGACATGTAGACAGATCAGCCAATGGTTGTTGAATTGGTGTGAGGAAACTGTTTCTTTTCCTACTAGAGCATCTTTTGGGACTGGAGAGATGGTTCAGTTAAGAGCACCAGCTGCTCTTCCAGAGGACCTGGGTTTGAGTCCCAGTAGCTACATGGTGGATCCCAACCATTTGTAACTCCAGTTCCAGGAGAATCTGATGCCCTCTTCTGACCTCTGAGGGTACCAGGCATGCACATGTATGCAAAACATTCCTACCCATAAAATAAATAAAAATGAAAAACAAACCAAAACATCCTCTGTTTTAACAGCCACTCTCTCCAGACATTCAGTGTGATGAACCCAAGCCAGTTGCTTCTGTCCTGGTCGTCAACTGCAAGATTGGTCACCCCATACTCAAGAGATCATCTGTGAGTCTGTTGTGATTAAGTGACTCTTCACACTACCCTTGCACTCCCAGCCTCATCAGCATCGTTCAGTTGTGGTCACTATGCTTCCCTTTGCTGTGGTCACCATACAGCAGTGTTTAGAACCGCTAAGCCTGCCCTGAAATGGAGAATGGTGGGGATGTGGGGAATAGTTTTCTGATGTAAAGCATGACCAGGGTTGGCTTCCCGAGGAAAGAGAGAAGTGGGGGCAGTACGGAGGTAATAGCAGGCCAACTGATTTTTTTGTATTGTGCAGAAACTGCTGTAGTTGCCCTTACTTGGAGGAGAATGACGCCCGTCTGTCTGTTTGGCTCACTCGGTATTTGCATAGGGAAGCTTCTATGAAATAGTGGCTGTGCTGCTAAAACAACAACAAAAACCACGAGGAATGTAAACTGTTTCCTAGTGCTGCTTAGCCAGGGTCTCGGTCACTGTTCTATAGCTGTGAAGAGACCAGATGACCAAGGCAACTCTTAGACAAGAAAGCCTTTAACTGGGAGCTTGCTTACAGTGTCAGAGGGTTGGTCCATTTACAGCATGACAGGGAGCATGGTGGCAGGCAGGCATGGTGCTGGAGAAGTAATATCCTGAGTCACAAGCAGACTGCGCTGGAGTGGGCTTTTGAAAACTCAAAGCCTCCCCACCCCCCCAGCTCAGTGACAAACTTCCTCCAATAAAGACACACTTTCTAATCCTTCCCATCCTGTCAGAATTCCACCCCCTGTCTTCAAGTCTTTGAGCACATGGGGGCCATTCTTACTGAACCCACCTCAGCCAGTTTGAAACAGTGTGAGCAGTGTTTAGCAACAGTTGTCAAGTGACTAGTTCTCTCATTTACTTATTTATTCCCTCCTTTAAAATAGGCAAATGTCTCAGTGATTTGGCAGCTAGAGGAGAGGGTCTTTCCAAATAGGACAGCGGACATCACTGTGACCATCTCTAAGTAAGTAGTGACTGTGTAGTAGGATCTGGCCTTGGGGGGAGAAATCTTGTCATATTCAGGCTGAGTGCTCTGGCTCCCTCGCTGTTCTGGGAGAAAGGGGTTACCTCACTAAGCCCACAGAACTTTCCTCTCATCAAAGATCCTTAAGATATTTTAATTCACACAAAGGAACACTAGGGTATATTCTGGCAGAATGAGCTTTGTACTGGCTTTCTCAACTCTGATATAATTCTGCAAGCCTCCCTAACAGGGTATGGTGCTGGGGAGGGGTCAGACAAGGGTAACTCTACTCCTCAGGCAATGGCTGAAAGTTTTTTGTTTTTTCCAGAGACAGGATTTCTTTGTGCAGCCCTAGCTGTCCTGGTACTTGCTCTGCAGACCAGGCTGTCCTCGAATTCATAGATCTGCCTGCCTCTGCCTCCCGAGTGCTCAGATTAAAGGCATGCACCACCACGGTCAGCATTTTAGAACTAATTCTGATTGCAGTGAGTTATCAGGTGATACCGGCTTCTGTTGATAGATGCTAATAACCATTATTCAGTATGTAGGACAAGTTCATAATAGAAAATTCTTTGGTCCAAAATGTCAAGTATGGAAGCTGAGAAATCCTACTGAAATCAACATTTCTCTAAGTGTGGGCTTCTAAGAAATTCATCTTTGAGATGTTTCTTAGGAAGTTAAGGTAACAAAGCAGTTGTGTAGTCAATTAACATTTTTATTCTCAGTTCCAATGAGAAGTCTTTGGCCAGAGAGACCCACAGCCTTCAATTCAGGCATGCCTTCTTTGCGGCTCTTTCTAGGTAAGTACCCCCAAGGGGTTTGTGTGATGGTGGTGCAATGAGGACAGCTTTGGGGATACTCTCTCGTGGACACAAGTGCCCATCAGGGTGGATGTGGGCATTGCCCTTTTTTAAGAGGAGGCTGCTTAGTGCCAGGCCTCGCTAGGATACTGTCAGGCTTAAAGGGTAGTGCCCCCCCCCCAACCCCCAACACACAAAGGCACTCACTGATTTCCTTTATCTTGCTCTCCAATTAACAACACCTGTGGTGCTTATCTGCACATCAGGGACCATGCTAGAGACAGCCTTGGCAGTTTGGAATAAACTTTGACTTTTCCACCCATGGAGCGGCAGTTTCAGTTTCTTTATTGCACAACTCTAATACATCATGTTGGGTTTTTGAAACACCACAGTGGTCATCAAAAGCACAGTGCCAACTGGTCCTTCTACCAAAGGAAACTGATGTAATGCAATGGGAAGGGAGTGAGTGGCTGTGGGGCTGGGGAAGGGCTGGGAAGATGGTTCAGGGAGTACAGTTCTCACTGTGCAAGCATCGGGACCTGAGGTCAGCACCCATGTAAAAGTCAGGTGGTGTGACACCCATCCATAATGTCAGTGCTGGAGTGGGTGTGGTGAGAGAGGCAGATCCTTCTGGCTTGCCTGCCAGCCAGCCAGTCTAGCTGAAACAACAAACTCAGGTTCAGTGAGATACTGTCAAAAACTAAAGTGGAGAGTTTAGGAGATGTGATGTTGACCTCTGGCCTGCACACATACAGCCACAGGTGAGTGCACTGCCACACATGTGCGTAGAAAAGAAGGGAGGCCACTCAGAGCAGAGTCCAACTGTATAGATTGCAAGTATTCTTTTGTCCCAACTGCCTTACAAGTACTTAACATTTTGACTTTCAGTTTTGAGTCCTCTTAAAGACCTGGTGCTATCTGTCCTAGTGTATTCAGTTGGAAACACTCAGATTCATTCAGAACCAGGAAGGAACCTTGAGTCCTCACGCATGCCCTCTCATTGCAGACCGTCAGTGATGTACATGAACACAAGCCAGAGCCCTTCTGACCACAAAGAATTTCTCTTCAACGTAAGTACATAGTGCTTACTGTCAATCTAAAGCTGGTAAAGCCACTGAGCTTTGACTTGCTCATTTTATTTGGTAGGTGCATGGGGAAAATCTCTTCGGAGCTGTATTCCAGTTGCAAATTTGCATCCCAATCAAATTACAAACTTTCCAGATTATAAGAGTGAAGCATCTGACAAAGACTCAGGTATTTAAATGAGATTCTTTTGTTTCTCTCTGAGACAGGGTTTCTCTGTGTAGCCTTAGCTGTCCTGGAACTTGCTCTATAGACTAGGCTGGCCTCGAACTCACAGAGATCTGCCTGCCTCTGTTTCCTGAATGCTGGGATTAAAGGTGTGCATCACCACTGCCTAGTTCTTTTTGGTTTTTGTTGTTGTTGTTTTGGTTTTTCGAGGACACTATTATGATCAAATCTCTTTCCAGAGACTACAGCTTCTCAAAGGTATAAAAACTAAAGCTTTAGCCCAGGCCTGGTAGCACAGGCTTGTAACTGTGGCTGTCTGTGAGGATGAGGCAAGGAATTTTGTTAAGTTTAAGCCAGCTTGGCTATGGAATAAGTTCAAGACTAGCCTGAGCCCTGTACTCAAACCTTAGGACCACAAAAACAAACCAATAACTCAGTAAGGCATTTGCCTTGCAAGCACAAAGTCTGATTCCCAGAATCCATGTAAAAATGCTGGGTGTGGTGGTGTTTGTAACCTCACTGCTGGGAAAGTGAAGGATCCCCGAGGCTCACTAGCACAGAAATCTAGCTGAATTGGTGAACTTCAGGCCCATAGATGACTGTCACAAATGTGGGTGGAATTCCTGAGGATGACACCTGAAGTTGTCCTCTGATTTCTGCTTGTTCCTCTGCCTCTCAACCTGTATCTGCACACAAACCAGTGTGCATTTAAAATTTTAAAAACAAAACAAGACCCAAACAAACCAACATGAGCTTTAGGAGTGAAAACAAGACTACTTAATTGTGGGAAAATATTAGGAGAAAGTCAGAAAGAAAATCATTAAGATCTTACAGCGATCTGTTTCCCCTTCTTTGATGAAAATAAGCAAAAATTCAAACATCTCAAACATCAGTGCCATAGACATTTATTTCCCTTTTGAAAATTCGTAAATTCTGCTTCTGTTTCTGTGTGATTGGTGACTGAATTTGATAAACATTTCCCATACTTCCTCTATGTTGGTGTTCACACCTCCACCTCAGCTTTGACCCTCTAGTCTCTCTTTTTGCTCTGTTATTTTGCATGCAGTAAAAAACACATCTGAGGTTTGGTTCCTGCACCAGCACTGACAGCAGTATCAGGACAGCTGAGGGCTGGGCTTTTCTGACTTGTTTTTGCTCCCCTACATAGGGTATCAAGGCTCAAAAAAACAAAAACAAAAACAAAAACAACCAGATTTGTAGACTCTGCCGACAGAAAGAGGACTTATAAGATGTATACAGTTGTCCTCTATGTAGTTTATTTTTTAAAGAACACTTGTTAAAAGGAAGTTTAATTATGTTGACAAACATTTTGGTTACCTTTTAAAAACAAAACTCTCTTTTTAAAAGCTGACAGGGAACTCTTAAGGATGGGCATTTACCTCCATCCTGCTCTAGTGGCAGAGACTCAAAACAGTACCAGAGGCATTGAAGGTGTATTCAGTGAGGCTTTGGAAGGGCTCTCAATTTGAGCACTCAGTACCTGGCTTACTTAAACAGACTGTGATGGCAGAGCAGGTCAGTGGCAGAACTGAACGTCAGTACAGTTCTGTGGAAATGCTGCAGTTTCTCCTTTACCTGTTTCATGGCTGTAGTGTGACACTTAGTCTTAAAGTTCATACGATTCAAAATCTTGTCTGCGAGGTAATGTAGCCACAGCACATTATTGTAAGGGTGATACTCACTCCAGCAGTTTTTGTTCTCCTTCCTCATGAGCCTGTAGATCTCAAACTGGTAGTCACCTTGACCTGAAAATAGGTCCTCTTCAGAAGAGATATCACAGAAAACCACAATCCCATCCCGCTCCAAGCGGGACAGGGTGTAGTCGATAATGTTGACTTGTAGCCCCCGGGTGGGAATGGCGCTGGTCTTCCCATTGAGGGTGTAGTGGAGCTCTTTGAGGTTGGTTTTCTTTAAGAGCACATTCCCCCAGTGTAAGTCACGGTGCTCAAAGTGCAGCGAGGCTTCTGCCACCGCGAGGGATGCGGTGATCTGGTGCAGGATGCTCTTTGCAGTCGCTATGGAGGACAGCTTTCCTCTCATTCGCTCTAAGTCAATCCCACCAAACTCAAATTCCAGGATAATGAAGAGCTGGTCTTCCTCGAAGAAGTCAGGCCGGTCATTTGCAGATTTTTTGGTCGCATTATAGTGATCCCAGGCTCTGAGCAGCAAGGGAGGGTAAGGCCCTTGGACACAGTGTACTGAGTTCAGCCCAATGAAGCCTTCCGTGCGGTTGTACACCTCATCAGACAAGAGGCTCAGCTCTTTGGAGATGATGATCTCTGGTAGGATCTCCTCAAAGGTTTTTTGATGGGACCCATTGACTAAATCTGGTCCTTCGATAGCAATGATTTTTAGGGCTACGGGTGTTTCATCAGTAATTGTTTCAAACACTTCCCCAAACACACCTTCCCCAATCTTCTTACAGTGTTTCAGTTGTTCTGTGGACAGGCAATCATGAAAGGGGATAGGCCCTTCCTGATTACACTCCCCGTAAACCTTTTCAGCGTACGATGGGTTTTTGTCCGTGACCTGCAGGGTCTTTAAGGGGCTAAGCAAATACATAGAAGAGGAGTGACAAGAAGAAACAGTGCTGTTGGCTCTGTCCGTGATGTGAGAGGTTGAATATTCAGACTGGAAGGACCTAGAGTGCGAACCAGAAATTTGGCTGCCGCATTCCTCTGACAAATTCGTTATAACTTTCTTCTTGTGGAAACTGAAGGAGGCTCTGGTTTTGGCCCAGGAACAGGTCTCATTGATATGACTCGAGTCCGGGGAAGGGATCGAATCCTTCTTTTTCTTCTTAGATTGCTGGTGGTGGGCAGAGGTTCCCATGGCTTTTTGACTTTTCCTCCTCTTCTGAGGCGGCCTAGTTCTCTTAGGCCTGCGGATTTGCCCTGGTACACAAAGGTCTTTGCAAGCCGTTTGACTTGTGGCCCTTCTCTTTCTCATGCTT